ATCCTGGGCTGGGGATCCAAGAACTTCTATTTGAATCTTGAATCGTGTCCTGGGCTGGGGATCCAAGAACTTCTATTTGAAGCGTGAGTCTTGAATCTTGAATCCCGGGCTGGGGATCCAAGAACTTCTATATTTGAATCTTGAATCTTGAATCCCGGGCTGGGGATCCAAGAACTTCGATTTGAATCTTGAATCTTGAATTCCTGTACTTACTGCAAGTTTGGCCAAACAAAAATTGTAATTTCTTGCAATTTTTCTTCATCAGCAAAGAAATCATAAAAACAACTCCAAGGACTACAAAAGTTTGCTTGAAACAGGTCCAAACCTCCAAAGCCAAACCTCCAAACTGTATCAAAACACCTGCAAATAATAACATTAGAAACTACAAAAAGGTAGGTCTATAGGGGGGGTACCATATATATATATATATATCGAATACACATGCGCGCGCAGACACGCACACCCTCTGATTGTGAAGTCAAACAGTTTTTAATTGTACATTGCCATAGCAGCAGTCAGACCAAAAAAACGGACTTTAGATGACATGGTGAAAATGTGTGAAACTATCTATAAATAGAAGTTACTGCTAATTAAGTTTACATCCATGTGAATCCAATCTTCACAAAACCAGCTCTTGGGCTATCTGGGCTGCGTTCAAAGATCTACGAACCAATCACTGATATCGACCTAAGTGGAGTCCTCCACGTAAGCCTCAAATTTCTCAAGCTCTTCCCGCATCTTAGTGTTGGCCGTCCGCAAGCTCTTGGTTTCGAACCTTGGAGCAAAGCGTGAGCAAAGCGTGAAGTGAGGGGGGAAGGTGAGAGAAAGGGATGGGCTTGGAGCTACTCCTTCAACCCAAGCCCCATCTCTGTACAAACGTACACAAGGGAGCTTCGATGTTGGCTTCGAAGTAACACAAAGGATGATGATAGATTCCACCCCCACAAAAGGTCGATGGAACACCATTGCCTCATATAGCCTCCAAAACCCAAAATTCCATCTTCATCATTCTTCATCCATCCTCATATTGCCGCGTTGCTCATGCTCGCGGAGGAGGACTCTCTTCAGCTGCAAGAGCTCCGAGTTCAAGACTTGCTCGAAGGGCGTCTCGGCCGAGCCCATGTGATCCAGCACCGAGCGGTGCATCGCGGGGCTGCGCGGTGGGTGACCCACCGCGCCGTGGACACAGCGGTGTTTCGCTGGGCTGCGCGGTGGAATGGACAAGCGCGGCAGTGGAGTGAGGCTAAGGCGGCTAAGGGCCAAGATGGTTCCGGAGAAAAGTGTCGAAAATTCTGCTCCATCCGGAAGCCACGAGATGTCATGCGAATCCATTGAAATGAAACTGGGTTCCAAAAGAATTTCGACCAACAGCCCATGCAAGTTCTTCCCTACGATTCTGTAGTATTGGGTCCCACAAGTCCCACAAATACAACACCAACGCCTACCTTCAACCTTGGGTGCCTCCACCCAGTAACAGGTTTAATCAAGTGGTCACTCCGAGACGGATTGTATGGAAGCACCTAGACTCACTGATGCATCATTCCTACTTAACCATACAGTGATTTTTTTGTAATTAGGGTGACGAAATGTCTTGGACTGGGTGCAGCTGGCACTTGTTGTTGAATTCAACAAATGCATATTCTGTATAGTATCACACATACATATCGCCTGTTTCACTATCTTCAGAACACGGCGCACAAACGGCGCAACTGCTTCGGTGACCTTCCGCGCTCCATTCCCAAGTAGCAGGTTGGCCTGGCTCCGGCCAGAGGTCAAAGCGTATGTATATAATTATAGCATTGTGGATAATAATAATAGATATATTGTATTATTATATATTATTACACAATATTATACATAGTATATATATCCTGTAATTATATATATAAGTGATACAAACGCATTGGAAGTGTGATAAATTACGAAGCGTTGACACCTTCAATATCCTTTAATTAGGATGCGCAAGGTTGGAGGTCCCAAAATGTGGAGGGCAGGGTGTCTCATGTTTCTGGCCGAAGAGTTCCTTACGGTGTTGGGTGGAGAACGTGTTTCTGGATTTTGAGGATTCCCTACCAATCGAGGAAAGCTGTGCGGTATCTCAGGGAGATACCAATCAGAGTCTGAATTGGCTTTGTCTGCAGTTAACTTTGGACCGTGTCCCGAAGTGTCAGTTTAGTAACAAAAATTGTCCACGGAGTCCACTGTCGACTGTCACTGGGAGAGGGCAGGGTCTAAAGTTCGCTTCTCTCTGTCTCATTCGAGCGGAACATTTGGTCACCCAAAGGCAGAAACACTTGGCCTCCCCAAAGCAAATCCCGCGCCGCCAGTCCAAAAAAATGCGACTCACGGAGACCACTGCAGACCAACGCGAAGCACACGGCACACGGCAGTCGTCGGTCGCACCTGCTCCGACAAGTCCTCAGAGGGCAAACCCAAGCGCTCCTGTTCCTTCCGAGCCTTCAGCCGCTTCACCGCCTGGCCGACGGTGCGAGTCGACTCAAGGGATGGGTGAGACATCGGTCCGGGCTCGCCAAAACGAGTGGCTTTGGTTCTGGCAAGTTCACCCACCTGGGTCGATCCACGTGCGGAGCCGGATCGAGCAATATGCGATCCACGGGGGAGGCGATCCGTCTTGTACCGGAAAAAGGACTCCCGATCAATTCCTGAAGAATGGGAGTGAGTTTCCGTGTTTTCCCGGAGAAAGCAGCTGCGGAGACACTGAGTCAATCTGAAGTTTCAGAGTCTGACAGCAACCGCCATCCATCAATCACGTGTGAGTGACGACCATCGCAGTCCTATACCAGGAAGCAGCTCCCAACACCATCCTGCCTCACCATCCAAACCACGACCCGGACGGTACGCCATGATGGGTCCACAAATTGGGTTTTGGAAGTCGAACGAATCTCACTTGGAAGTCCTTTCGGTTCCTCGGATGATGTTTGTTTGTTCGTAGGTTTGTTTGTTCGATGTGTTCGTCAAGTCCTTTTCCAGGGCACAAAGTGCGATTGATCCGACTGCCGGGCAGAGTGTAGTTGGTCGGGCAGAGGCCCCCAAGATCATGAAGGTTTGAGGGTCAGTCTTTATCCAGTCGGTGACGGTCAGTTAGTTGGCGGTCGGGTCAGTTGCTTGCAGTGTAGTTGATGTCTTGCTCCTGTAACTTCTCCTGTGGTTGCTCTGTATCTGTCTATTACTGTTCCCTTTTTAGGCTTCAGCGGTCAAACTCATCCCGGGCTGAACCCGCGGCGAGTCTTCTCGCTCAAACAGCACAAGTGCCGATCCTGTGGATCATTGGGTTCCCATCCAACGGCTCGGGGACCGAAGGGTGGTTTCACTTTACAGCTCGGAAGCTCGGAAGCTGTTTCTGTGCCGAAAAGAAACATCACATGATTGTGCCCAAGATTGTGTAGAAGCTCAAAAAGTACCTCGGATGCTGTTCATGTCTCAGACTGTCTCAACTTTTCGCAACAACGATTACCCATCAACCCTAACAGGCACTTAGATCTTATCAGCTAGTAGGTTGGAGGCCAGCGCCGCTATGATAATGATTGGAAGTCATTCTGGAACAAACGTCCGTTGTGCCGGTTCGCTCGTTGTCCTTCAGCTGATGAGCCATGTGTGCACACAGCGGAAGTCACACAGAGGTGAATTGAAGTCACCCAGGGGGTCTTCTTGGGGTCGGGGGGATGCAGCCAAGGTGTGTCTCGCCCGGATGGGATGAAAGAACAAATCCGAGGTGGGTGATCTGGCTTGCACAGATACCAGGCATCTCCAACTCAAAAACCATATAGCTCCTTCCCCGCAATGAAATCCCTTAGCTAAGGAACCACACAGGTTCTTTGTGTGGATTGAGGGAGACGAAATTTTCTCCTTAGCCAGCACAAGCCAACCCCTGCATTGTCGAGCTATGTTACATTCCAGTTGTTCTATGTCAGTGAAAAAGCTGGAAAGATCAACACAGCAGCAACCTTCACCGTTCTGTCAAACATCTGGCCGGCCCTAGACAGAGGCAGTGGACAACCGTGGGCCCCTCCGGAACGTGGACATTGGCACACTGCCCACCCGTTTGATCCCTGTCCAATCACCATTCGAACACAGATTTTTGGCTGCGCAGCTTGGGTCAAGCCTGGCCGAAGCTGAACGGCTCAGTTGATGGTCTGATTCGGGGCAGAATGACTGCAACAGGTGTCTAATTAGGAAGGTCATGGAAGGTCCCTTTCTCAACACTTTGCATGAAGAAAAATGAATGAACAACAAGAACCGGTCCCTGTCTCAACACTTCGCATAAAAAACAATTGGATTCATAGAGAAATCAGCCAGCCTAACATACCCTGCAGGCATATCTGGTCCGTCTACCTTTCAACTTCCTTGTTAAGGGGATTTGGCAAACGGCATGCCTCCACAAAACCATAGCAAAATGGATAAAGTTGCGGTTCCGAGGCTTGTTTGCTGGTGGGTTGCTAAAGTTTGGATATGTTGTTCAACCCTATTTCGTCCTTGTTGTTGATGTGTGTTGTGTGGATGGTTGTCAGCTTTTGCGGGCTCTCACTTTCTCTTGGGAGGATGTTGATGGATGAGGTTAGGATGTATTGAGGCTGTTGTGCTTCGATGTTTTGGCTTTCAACTCCTCTTTCATGGCTTTCAACTCCTTAATGACGTTCGCAAGGGCTTCAAAAGAAAATGCTTTCCATCCTCGAGATCTCGACTCTTCGAACCCTGGCTCGACTGGACGGCTTATATATAAGCGAAGTCCTCTGCGGGGACCGATGTCGCCACACAAGGTATTGGTTCATCAGCTGAAGGATGTGTATCCTTGCATACATCAATCGCAGTTGGCTTTACAATCCACTCAAAAGAACTCTACCTCTTGGCAATGTTCCCGACTCCAGCCATTTCTGCCTGTCATTTTTCTGGGTTAGAAGGTGGCGTCGTTGACATCGCACCCTTGTTGGCACAAATGTACCAGTCTATACTACAGTCGCACAACAACAAAAGCAAACATACTTTCAGGCACGCAAACGTGGAAGCTCTTTTGATATCTTTTGTTATATTATACGTAAAACGAGCAACCAAGACCAAGACGCAATACGAATCAAAAAACAGAATAGGAAGGGAAAATCAAGAACGAGAACAATTGCAAGAACAAGGACACGGGCAAGGACAAGAACAATGAGAAAAGCACAAGAAAACGACATCTCAGCTGAGCCCAGACTGCCTTCGTCTCCGCCTCCACCCCTCTCAGCAACTTGGCCAGCAGCCTCCAGAAGAATCAGGACAGTACTTGGTTGCTACCAGTATGGACCCAACTGAAATCTGCGACACTCATCTGCTACACTCACGTTCACGTGGAAGTGAAGCCTCCCCTGTTTGTAGAGAAAAGAAGTCTTAAGTCTTTCCGGGGCCGTGCGGAGAACAAATAGTACTTCTTTGTCCTCCACGAGGATGACCGGTTCGTAGCAAGAACAAACAACAATTGCAACGCAATAAAAATTCCAGGACTCCTACTGTAACCATCCATTGACTATATTAGAATGATGCCGCTGCTATCGGACTTCATGTCATCGGAGCAGGAGGCCTCCGAATGGCGCTTTTAAGTGGAAGGGAAGGCCGTGTGAAGCGCCGATGGCGAATTGTGCACCAACTGCAGAGAGTCTTTGGTATGCCATCAATGGAAATCCGAGAGTGTGAAGATGTACGCTGTACATCACTTTGTTTCATGAAACCACATGATCCGTCCGCAGAGGGCGGGCTCAGCACGCTGAAAAGGCGCGGACGCGCGGCCCCAGTCGGTCGCCTTTGTGCTTCGACGTTCGATCGTCGGTTCACCTACTTGCTGGAAGACTTCGTGCGTTTCCAGTTTCTACATTGGTAGCGGAGCCCGGTTCAGGCCGGGCTCCCTACCCTGCGCACTTCGCGACGGCTTCCCGAAGGCTTGGAAGAAGCCCTACGTCACGAACGGTTCCAAGAGCTCTATTTTCCTACCTAGGTCTTTGTCTGGCTGCATTTCTCATCCGCTACCACATCACCCAAGCGAACCAGCAGACCTTTGAGGAGCTCTTTGGCACCATGGCCCAAAAGAAAACACCACAGACGCAGGCATCCGGCTCGGCGGGAAGCGGCTCGGCAACGGGCTACCTTGACCTCAGGGACTCCTATGTTCCCATCTTCAGTGGCCAGCCGAGTGACTATACACTTGTATCACCGCAAGATGTCCATCACCAAACGTGGGAACGAGAGCGTCTTGAACATCGTGGGCAGCTTCACAGGCCTCACCTGGAGGCTCTTC